GTCCAGTGGTTTGGGAGTTATTGGCAAAAAACGAAAATTTCGAAGAAATTGAAGGGGTACCCCTTGGAAAAATCTCGGAAAAATCGAAAATTTTTTTTTTGTTGTTTATTATTACCATTGTTTTTCCGACGTCGGATTTCTTTTTAAAAAATGCGTTTCTAAAATGCATAAACTTTTGGGATTGACTGTATTGCCAATACATCCTTAAAGCGTCGATTGAGGCAATTAGTTGTAGGAGATTCTCGACTAAGGATATCTGAAAACAAGTATCTTTCGTTCTGTGCTTCCGCGACGGTTTTCTTTCGCTCGTTAACGATAGGCGAGGGACGAAAGGCGGTTGCGCCTGTCCGGAAAGGAGAACGGTCTCCCCGCATTGGTCCATCCGCGGTTACCATGGACGCGAATCATCGATCTGTTCGCCGTTGACGTTTGTTTCCGGTACGGGGCATGCTCCAACGGAACTCGGTCACAGTATAAGAAAAAACAGTAGGTTCACTTTCTCAAAAAGCGTACCAATAATTGTCACTCGCGCATGACCGAAACGCACCACCAACAACATGGCGGCTGTGTCACTTCCGTTTCACTTCAAATTCAAAACATATGTCAAAAAGATAAGTGAAAGGGGTGGCTTTTCTCCTATATTTAAAGAACCACAAGCAGCAAACGAGGGATCGAAGGAAACTATTTTCTTATATTGTGACTTGCAATCAAACTTAAAGATGTTCACCTGTTCGATTTACTGATTATAGAAATGCTTCAAATTTGAACTACACGCAAACAGTATCGTTTTCTATCTCCTTAATTGAATTTACTTCATTAATTTCATGTATTGAAAAAAATAGCATCGACCATCGATTAAATTTTCTTTCTATTTAATCGAGAATGAACAATTTTAAATAAATCGTTTTAATAAGAATAATCGACCGTCTATTATAATAGCAAAGCGATTTGCATGTTGGGCCGATTAAAGGGAAGATGTATGTCACGAAGCAATTCTAGTCTGAGCCAGTTAAGCGTGGAAATAGACGATTAAACGTAAGCCCGGATACTTTTCAAATCCTTTGAAATGGGTCTCACCCCTTCGATACGGCGACTAGAGAAGCGAACCAAGTTCTCCTCATTAAGGCATTATCCCGTCGCGTCTCAAGCAGCGCAAAGATACGCAATCGAGTGCACCGCACTTAAATTACTCCCAAGTCGAGTCCTCGAGAACTTGGCTCGTTAAAGCACGGATGTACTTGCGAGTTTTCCTGCCGACTAACAACGGGGCAACAAAATTTTTAATTAGGCAATTTCCGATTCGGTTTCGTTCATGTTTCACCGTCTTCTGTTCTCGAGAGATACTTCAGGCGGATGAATAATAAATTCTTCGGTTAAAATGTGATATGTCTTATCGAAATAATGGGAGCATGTGCCATTACTACGAAAAATGTAAACTTCTAGGAAGCGATCGTGATTAACGGAGGATTTAAAATTTTCATTGGACATGAACGAAATCAGGGCGTTAACCAGACGATCTCTGTTACCGATTTTTACAAGCTCCTTGCCGGTACATATGCAATTATTCTTAATTATAAATTGTAATCAATCTCATTAAATCTATCTCATCATCTCGTTTATTCAACATGTTCATTCAACTATAAACAGTATGTGGTTATAAAATTTGTGACCAACTCTGATTACGTGAAAAGTATTTTAGTGTCTGTTTGATGAGAAATGAAAGGGTGGTAGGAAAAATGTTAAGACTGTCGGTGTTAATGATTTGAAGAAGAGGGCCTACAGCACGGGCGAGTCGAAGACATGGGAACCGTTTCGGTCGATCTTAGGGCAGTGGACAGAGGTGAAAGGCGAACCCTGCTGGGTGGAAGTTCTCATGCCGCGGGATCCTCGAACGAGGGTCGTGACTCGAATGAACAAAGTCCCGTCGGAAAAGATCGCGTACGGGGTGAAGTGCATTCGGCCCAAGCCGAAGATCCGGAGAGAGATGGCGGACGACTTCAGGCGGAGGACCCTGAATCTTACGGTGAAATATTGAAATTCGCCTATCCGAAGGGCAAGCACAAGAGCGGGAAGAAGTCCCACTGCAAACGGCGTGTCACGTTTGCTTTGTAAATTTTCGATGTGATAATAAAGCTAATTGAACATTAGAACATTTAAGTCGTTGTTTCAATCGATGATCATTTATGAATTACGTTTGAGATCAAATCGATCGTTTCATCTCTCATTTAATCGCGCGAATGTGACGTTGGACGCGTTTTTTCGCGGCGTGATAATCGACGACTGAGATCGAGATTCGATTCGCGGATGTTTCGATAACCGATCCCCCTTTGTTCGTTAATCGACACCGTCAGTCATCGTTCAAAATGCCGCGTCACTGAACAGACGGGGATGACATTTGCCGTTTAAAATTATAGTTACACGTTCAAAATTTTAAGTAATCACGGAACAATTTAATACATCCAAGGGTCCTCTCTTCAATAATAACAATGAAAGGAATCAGGACTTTGGTTTTGCAGGATCTTCAGCATGTCTTGCCTCCTAAGGGTTTACAGGTACGACCGACGTGAATCGACATTCCCCTTTATTAATTCTAGAATCCAATGGCAAAACGTGATAATTGCGGTCTCTTATCAAATTTTTACGAAGCTCCTTCGATAAAAAATGTCAATCATGTTTTGCCATACGAATACGAAGATCGATCGATTAACGATAGATTTCTGAAAAAAAAAGAACCGACTGGCATCGAGCTACCAACTATCATCGTCGTCGCAACTGCACACGAGCCCTCCGTCCGGTCGATTTTGGAATTTTTTCGAGTTCTCGTCGAAAGAGGAGGCATGCCGTGACGCGGAGAAGTGTACCTCGTCGAAGGACATTGTGTCACCGTTGCTCTCAGCCAATCAGCTCGACAGCGTCAGGAAACCGCTGTCGGTGAACGCGGCCGTCGCCCCTTCGGCTCTCTCGTTGATCCCGAAGACGTACGGCTTCGACTTGAAAAATGCGTCGATCAGTTGCCTAAAAATTCCTAGACCGTTGAGACAGGACAACTTAATGTCCATGCTGGACGGAAATCCGGTCCCGAGGACGTTGAAGTGGAAGCTGAAGGGGTACAAGACACTGCGGAACGAGCAAGCCGGTGACTTCGCGTTTGTACCCGGTGGCAAGTCTTACGACTTCGACATCCTCTCTCGGACCGAGTACGGCGAGTTCTTGAACGAAGCTAACTGCGTGAGCAAGAGTCTGGTCAAGCAGCAAAAAATTGCTCCACCAAAGTTAGAGAACACCGCTAAGAAGGATACTTTGTGTCTGACCGCAAAAGCGATTGAGAATAAAGAGAAGGCAGGGTATGTGAATAAACTGGAACTTGGAAAACTCGATGTTGCCAAGGATGAAATCAGCAAAATGGAGTCGAGCAACTTGCCTGCTGTTTTGGACACCCCGGAGTCTACAACCGGTGTGCCAAAGCTGATCGCCAGTTCCCTTCCCAAGAAAGAAGATATACAGTTCCTTCCAGTGTCGAAGGCAGAATTCCCAGTCGCTCCAATAAAGAATCAGACACAACCATCGGCTCAATATTCTTCCCAACCGAAGAGACCATCGAGTCCATCGTCTCCAGCGATGTTGACCGACAATCGTTCTCCAGCTAACAGTCGGCAGGAACCACCGATGGAATCTTACGAAGATAAACGAGTTTCTGAACACGCCGAACAACAAGCGTCTTCCGAACCGTCGAGCCGTTACGAAAATTACCCTGAAGTTACCGAAGAAGTTAGCCCGAAATGGTCCACCGTGGAAGAATCGGTCGCCAACCAGCAATTGACGGAACAGAGACTCCACAGCCATCAACTGCCACCGAAGGCACCTCAGACCAAAATGGACGCTGGTCAAGTTAAATCTGAGAGAAGATTCGCACGGAAGGGTCTGAACATAGCATCCCAGCCCATGCAAGGCGAGCTGGAAACGTCTACGTACTTCGCCCCTCGTCCCTTCAAGCGTACAAAACCATTGAATCAAAAAGATTTATCGAGGCCTGATTACGAATCCATAATCGGTATTCCTAGACAGAGTTTACAATTAAATATCTCCAGACCTGTTCAGTCCAGACCGACGAAGTCGTCTCCATGCGCCGCGACTCATGCCAGATTACTGCAGGGTACTAGAAATTCGGATCCTCAGGGATACTCTGGACATTCCCTTGGATCTACTGGCAATGGCTCGATGGCTGGAAGCTCGGGCGGAGGCTCGCGAAAACCTCCTGCAGCCTATCCTCCCATCACGTCGAAAAGATCGTCGTCCAACAGCTCACATTTGCAGGATTCACCGTTCACTAGGAGGAACGAGATTGCCTCGCGGACGAATCTGAACACAAACAAGAACTCTGCATCGAACCTTTCGACGTCCAGCGCTAATCAGTCGAGGAGGTGCTCAGAAGGCGACGACAGGTGTTCTAGAAACACGTGCGGCAGACGCAAGTGTGAGAGGGAACGACCGAAATGCAAGGATGACAGGCCGAGAAAAGACAAGAAGATTTGCAAACGTTATTGCTGTCCCGCGCTGCAAACGCCAACCTGCTGCGATTATAACAAATTCCAATGCCCGAAGGATCCGCCCATTCGTAAGATACCAAAGGTGAAGCCGGATCATACTTGCTTGCCGCAAGAGAAACGGGCAAAAAAGAGGGATCAGGATCATGGTGGCCAAGAAATTTGTACGACCCCAACGAGGAGAAGAGACCGTGATCGTTCTTGCAAGAGGGAGAGACGCGAGTGTAGTAGGGATAGGTAAGGATATTTAGAATTATAATACAGCGTGTTCAATTATTTATTATTTTATTCTTGTATCGAAGAACGGATTGAATCGTTGATCTCCTTTCATTTAGTTGACACTTTATATTATTGTAAACGTTTAGAAGTTGCGATCGGCGGCAGCAGCAGCAGCCCTGCCAGAGACAGAGGAGACCGTGCAAGAGACAGGAGCGTGAATGTCCGCGGCAGCAGCAGCAGCAGGAAGAACAACAGGGTGGCCGCGAGTTCTGCACAAATCCGAGGAGACGGAGAGATTGCAAACGCGAGAGAAGATGCGACGACCAGTGCAACCGAAGAGACCAAAAATGTTCAGGAAGGAGGAATTATACTCAATCCGCGTACAAGGAGCGGCCGAAGCAGACGCATACGAACCTGAAGCGTTTCTCGTCGCTCCCAGCTTTCGCCGTACCTCTGATCGGCATAAGGGCGACAGCTGAGAAGAAGCCGAGTTTGGTCAGTTCACCGTCGAAGGTCAGATTTTACGTGAAGGAGACGCCGTCGGTGATGTCCTGCAAGGATAAAAAATCTGATACGAAGTGCAAGAAGGACGATCCTTGCGCGAAGGCGGGAGGGTATTGCGACGGAAGGGCGGAAGGCTCCTGCAAGGAACGTGCGAGCAAGACGAAGTGTGCACCGCCGAAGAAGCAAGACCCTTGCAAAGGTAGAAAAGCGGATCCTTGCAAGGCGGCGACGAAGTGCACTCACACACCCAGAAAGGAGGATCCATGCAAAGCGGCGAGCAAAGGGGGCTTATTGTCTTGCGGTAAGATAAGGACGGAAAAGCACAACACAGTATGCCAACCGATGTGTTGCGAGGGTTGGAAGAAGGAGAAGGAGAGGGCCTGTTGCAAGATCAAATTGCAAGAGTCTCAGTGTGGAAAAAAGAAGGATGATAAATGCAAAGGTTCGTCAGGCAGGAGAAAGAAGTGATCGATGTCCGGTTGTGCATTTTATACCGCATCGTACTCTTGGTAAGTACTTTATTAGTAAGTCTTACCGTTTCGTAACTACAGATACGAAGAAAGCATCTTGCGCTCGGGACAACGACGAGGAGTCTGAGAAGGCAAGGGCGGAAAGGATGGAAAGGGAGCGGAAGGAGATCGAGGACTGCAAGACAAGAGCCACGGAATACGAAGAGGATAAAAAGGAGAAGAAAAGTACCGTGACATGCAAACAGCAGAAGAAAAAGGGCAAAGATAACACTACCGGTCCCTGCGCCAGGTTCTCCACTATTTCCTCCTCCGATATGTCACCCCTTATGAATGCGTGGCCCAAAGCCTTTATGAAGCACGACAGCAGCAAATTACCAAATGTGCCGTTAGATCGATCCTATTCCACCGTAAAAACAACGAACTCCGACGAGTTCGGTGCTGAATTGGGCACCGAGAATAACTTTTGGAGTTTCAACGACAACGACAGCGGATACGAGGAGCTGCCTGTACCGGTCGTGATCGAGAACGACGACGTACCGGACAACGACTCTTCTGGCAGTTCTAATTGGTTCTTCTCTTGGTACGATCAAAATTAGGAAACTTCAGTATAACGAGGAGAACGCACCGCATTATAAAAGTTATGTATATTTCTACTGTACGTCCCGCAGTATAGTCTACTACTCTTTGCACAAAAAAAAAAAAATGAAATGGAAAAATGCACGTCGAACTAGTACGATTCTATACATATATGTAAACGTATACTCAATGAGTAATTCCATATTTCTGGTAACACATACCAATAAACACTTCGTCCACGTATCGTTCGTTGATCTTTATCGAGCTAGAAGCGTCTGTACGATCTAATAATTATTCCGCCCGGTGGCACGATTCGTGGATCAAAGTTCGCCTCGATCGAGGCGAGTGTCGCGGCCGGTTACGGGACGTCTTTGTGCAAACACGATAGAGGCGTACGCGTGAATGGAGGGCTAGCAATTATGGGTTATTCAGGTCTCGCCACGGGATACCCGGGGTGCCGTCACCATGGAATTTTTCGTACGCGCGTATACCTGGCGCCAATCCCCTTTTTACGTTCCGCGTACAGGACTGTTGAACGGCGCGCTGCCGAAAAGAGGGGAACCGGGAGTAAGAGAGAAAAGCGTGCGGACGTCTCTGCGGGGATCCCGCACTCTGCCACTTATGGGAACGTGATACGAGCTTTTCGTTGGATGCTCTCTTGCGTTTTCACATTGTTGCGCAACCACCTCGTCCTTCCTGCTCCTATGCTCCCGTTTCTCCTTCTCCCCGTGGCGCGCCTCCGCGGGTCTTTGCCTCGTCGACAATAGGAATCGATGTCAATGCGAGCGTACTTTGTGTCTCGACTTCCGGCTCGTCCCGGAAGGAGAACATTTCGTCGGAAATGTTAACGTTCCCCGTGAGCAATTAATTATTTGCGATCTCGTCGACGTTCAAATTTCCTTAAATCAGTCCAAACGGCAGGATAGTAAAAACTGTTTTCAAATCTCGTTCATAAACGAATCTCTGGATAAAAAGTTCAATTTTTCAATTAGAATCTTTTGATTAGATGATCTGCTTTTTCGACAATGGAAATTGAAAATGGCCTCGTTTGAAATTAAATAATTCTGCCGAAACTGATACATTCCCAAGTGGTTGTGTGCGGTTCTCTCCGACGGGATGCCACCCGTGGCGTCACCATTCATCCTGATGGACACACGGCCCCGAAGCGGTTTGTGGTCCAGGAAGAAGTCGTTGACATCATAATGTGATGTGTCTAGATCATGCTCAGGCCCTCAAATCAACCGCTCGATCTTCTTTCGTGACAACTCGTTTCAAAATTTACAAGCACGTACATTTAATTGAGAACGATCTCCGTCCGTGACTTCATATAAAATTATTTCATCCTCCAGCAAAATATTAAACGTCGAACGGCTTCAAGGCTATTTGTAAATAACTTTATGCCAAAAAACAAGAAATTCTGTCAGCCATGTTAGCACCAAATCTTTGATAAGGACGCGTCGGTGCTGAATACTTTCTAGGGATGCTAATGTAAGTCCAGTAATGCATTCGGCACGTCAGACTTCGGCGAAAGACATCGTGAAATGTTCTAACGCGTATTCTGTGTTCGACATTGCGTAAAAATCAAAGACCGTGCCATGAATAAGTGCACATGTATCGATTTGATATTACTGTAAAGATCTGGCCACGGAATGGAGGAGGCAGGGGGGGCCTTCTGGTAAGAGGACTGTGCCGAACAGCACAGCACTTACCCTAGACTGTTCGGACTTGAAAGTTGATTTTTAACACGCACGTCTGTGAGTTCTTCCGAGAAGAATCCAAGTTAGTTTTCTCAACGATCACGACGAGTGGCCGTGACCCAGGGAAGCGACGAAAGAAGAGCAGAAGGGGTTTTCCACGATGACACGTGCGCCGTTCGAGTAACGTCCCACGTCAATCAGCGAAGATGGAAAACGGTGTGTGCAAAACAAACGGGCGCGCCGTCTCGTTCCAGCTTAACGAGGGATCCGTCCACGCCAGGAAGGAAATCTGTTCGGCATTATTTTAGGTAGCGGTTGTTTTTTCAAAAGTCCTTACGGTCTGAGAAAACAGAGTGTCCTTTGTCCACCGGCCATACGACTTTCCTCAGACTCGATCGTCGGTCGACTCGCGGAATTGGAACATTTTTATAAAAAGTCGGTTCTTGCCAGACGAAATCTAGACGAATTGATGAAGTTGTGCAAGCAGCGTCGTTACGTCAGACCTGGCCATTTGCGCGTAAGAAATCTTGGGGAACTGGTTGCATAAATTAACCACAGTGGTATTAAACTCCGATTTGCACGTCGTGTAAATGAAAAACGATTATTAACACCGTTCCCCTCCACACGGTGAAAATTCAATTTACGAGAATTACGCGAGAGGACAGACGAGATATTTAATAACAGGAACTGGTTAATAACAGCCTCAATAAGAAACATGTAAACGCAGGTCAACACATTTCGTTCATTCTCGAAAACAGCGAGGATTGAAATAACTGCGGGGGAGAAGAAGATCTGAAATATTTCGACGAGAACGCGCATCTCTTTAACGACTCGTGTCCCTTTAATTTCCCGCCGATCGATCGACGGTCCCGCGATTTTCAAGTCTCGACGGAGTCGTCGCGCGAATTCCGCGACGGTACTCGCGAGAACGGTTAAACAGCCGGTATTGCAATGTGCCATGGAAAACCCGGTTCGTCCGTAGCCGGAATGGATTCGTCCGATTTCCGCGGATCTCTTCGGCCGCGCCGGTAGAGGTAGGGAGACGCGGGGGTGTAATGAGGCTGACTTATTGCTGCGTTTCACCTGGCCAATGGTAGACCGGGATGGTGGTCGGGACCTCGCCCAGCACCCAATGGTCGTGGAGTTCTGGTAGCTGTAAAATCAGCCACGCCTCGGCCAATCGGCGAACAGTTGCGCATGACAGAGTGAATCGTCGACGGAGGACGCCGGAGCCGCAGTTTCTTCTGGTGCGTGCGTAGGAGAACGTCGCGATCACGAGAGAAAGAGACGGGGAGCCTTGACGTTTATCCGCTCGGACCGTCGCGCGAGTCCCCGGTACACAATACGTGAATCCTCCGCGTGTGTCCCATGCACGTTCCAGCGAATACGCGTGTCGCACTTTCGGGAGTGACGGATGTGTAATATCCGACGTAGTGCGGGTCGCGAGTGGGTTCGGTGTCGCGAGGCATGATTACCGGTTCGAAGAAGCCGAGGAGGAATCGCTGGGACAAGAGAGGGACAGAGAAAACGGACTATTTAACAGAGTCCTAATAATAGCCGGTGCGCATTCGTACGCGAGTATACTAAGCGCCTATAAATACGCGCGTACCACGGCCCGCGGAAACACGAGCCCGTGGATTTCACGGTGCAACCTGCCACGAGGAAAAGACGGGAAGATCGCAGGGGAAAAGGGGGAGAATAATCTTCGAGGGAGGAGGGCGCACCTGGCGCGAGAAACTTGCCATAATCGGATCTAGTCGGAGGCAGTAACGCAAGATAATCGCGAGGGACCGAAAGGACACGATAAAAGAGTGGGAGAGAGGGAGAGAGGAACGATCGGACTGTACCAGCCTCTGAAAGGAGATTAGAGAATAACCGCAACTGGAGTGCGAGATTTTATTATTCCGCGTATATCCTTTCTTTGACTCTCGTAACACGAGAAACATCCCGGTGTTCGTCGGAGCTTGCAGCAACTCTCTACGAACGGCGGTGGCCTAAAAATATCTCCTTCCTGCATATTCTGACGCGTTTACACCGTCGCGAGTACAGCGACGCGTTCCTCCTTTGTCGTCGCCGTACACTTTTTAACCCTCCGCAGCTTTCTCTTCGAAAGCACGCGACCGCTTCACCGCACCGACGACGGCCTCGGTGTTCGAACCGGGAGAAAATCCCGCGCGGATACTTTCGCTCGATCGGAAGGGGAAGGAAAAGATGCCGCGGAGAAAAGCGTATGCGAACGATCGTCGCGGATGATCGCCGAAAGGTATGAAGATCGGCTCGATTGACGTTGGCTCGTACGCAGCCGAATATCCGCCGTCGGACTCGCGACCAGGCCTCGACCGTCGGCACGAGACTTCCTCGACGTTAAAATGAACGCATCGTCCGGTAGTTTACCAAGTATAAAAAACAGAAGGAACCGCCTCAACCCTCGAACGCACGATTTTCATTGAGGGATCGTTAAAGAAGTCTGAAGGATCGAGATAAAATATCAGTGCGTGAAACGAAGTGCACGGGAGGACAGTGGTCCACGGTGGAGGGTGGAGGGAACGGAGTGCAAGGGGTCGCCGTGGGCCCCGGAGATGATGCGATGATGGCCTACGGTGGAACCACCGGAAACGGAGGTGCGATGGGACCTTCTTCTGGTGGTGCGGACGTTTTGGGTTCGACCGGTGATTACAGCCCGCAGGGCACACCGACGCCTCTCACGGGACACGCAGCCGGACCCGTCGAGGCTACTACCTACGGCCCCGGCACCGGTCCGGCGAGCTACAGTCCTCAAGACAGTCCCGCGAGTTCTGCCGGCGGTGGTAGCAGCAATGGACAACTTCCCAGCTTCGGCTTCACCCAGGAACAAGTCGCCTGCGTTTGCGAGGTGAGTCTCGAACAGATTCGATGAATCGTGTTTTGCCGAGTGGAAGTTTGAGATTTTTGGGCACGGTGCTGTGCGATATGCCACCCGACGGGATTCAACGACGGTCTTCGACTCGTTTTCCATTGTACAGACGAAAGTAAAGCTATTCATTTGTTTGTTTACTGTAACGAGATATTACGTATTTGGTGTACAGGCGAGTTAAATGTGCAACGATATAATTATCCGCGAAGTAGCACTTAACGCGTTCGTCTGCTTGGGCAACTGTTCGCGAAATACTAAACGGGGCCTGTAACTTTAATTTACGCGCGATGATGAAACTGTCCCTGAAATTCTCTGTACAATCCCCCGGGGCGTATTCCGTGGACACAACATTGTGCAGCGCCGCGCGCCAAGATTCACTTGCATGTCACACAGCTAATGGAGTTCATGCAATTTTACTGCAACCATAAATTGTTTTGTGTGCGACGTTTACCGCTCCTCTCGCGTCGAACGTCCCACGTGCCCGCGACGGAATTCGTTCGTTCTTACGTGCACCCAGTATTATATTTGGGACACAGGATTTTTTTTTGTCAAAAATCATTTTAAACATAACACTATCATAAATGATAATTAAAAAATCTAATGCATATTGTCAGTCGTTGAGTTTCTCATATTCTGTGAGGATTGAGTCGTTTAAAAATTTGAAACACGAGATCCTATCACGCTTCCCATAAGTGCATTACGTGTACCTACGGCTAGACATTTTAACTCCTTGCCCACGTCACACGGATATTTAATTTAATTTACAGCGAAGCTAAGCGATTCCAATAAACGAGAGATGGAATCGTTTAACGGGTAATTACACCCGCGTCATAATAAAGAGGCTCGGTGAGAGTAGCATTTACGATCGCGTCTATCAATCGTTAAAACCGTTCCTACGTCGCTCGTTTAAAAAATTGTATAATTTACAGCGACGTTGTTTTCGTGAATTGAAGTTTTTCGAGTCGCTGTTTAAAAACGCTGGAATTTGAACATTGTGACATTTGACTCCGTGAGACGTGGGCGCTAGTTGTCTTGTATCATTCGAGGTGATCGAGGGAAGTCGGTTCGTTCCTCTCGGAACGAGTCGTCCCATCGATGAAACTTCCGTTCGCCGGGTGCTTGGCGAAGACAAATCGATCCGAGTTCGCAGACAGCAGAAGCCTCGATGGAAACCGTTTTAGTTCGGCTCGGCACGTCGCGCTGTCCGTTTGATTTGCGATCGAACCGCAGCGTCGTTAAAATCCGGATCGCGATTCCTCTTCGGCTTTCGTCGCGGCTCGTTACTCATTACGCGGCTCCTCCTCGCGCAAATCGTGATTAATCGTTGGTCAGAGACGTCGCGCGAGGAAACTGGCCCGGCACCCGGCGAATGAAGAAGTAACCGCGGCAGGTGCGCCGAGACTCGTACCACCGTCCTCTCGTTTTCGTCGCGTTTAATGGCCGCTCGTTTTCGGTAATTTGCCTGTAACGAGCGATCGATCCCGTCACAGCTTGTTACCCGCTCCTCGTATTCGTTTTTTTACTCGCGACCTCGCGCCGCGATCGAAACTCGAACCTTCGAACAGGCCCTCGAGGTGCAACGGTGATCGCTCCACATTTTTGTCGATGAAATTATCATGTCTTCGGATTGAACCTCGTCGGTGTTACGAGTCTCCTCAGGTAGCGAAAAGGGCACGCAAACTCGTGATCCGTGACTTATCAAAGTGTGATCTTGCTTCGACGAGGTAACTTATCCTATTGCTCGCGAACGCTCGTCGACCTTTCCAACGAATGGGCACCCTTTTCGCGCTGAACGAAACACAAGATACGAGACGAAATTACGTTTGAGAGACATACAAGATACACTAGAATAAGAGGAGACCGGGATGAGTTCTGCCGACTAACAGTGTGCCCCCCCTGTCTATCGTCTTCAAGGCGATGGTGTCGTCTGTCCAGGTTCTCCAGCAGGCAGGCTCCGTGGAGAGGCTCGGCAGGTTCCTCTGGTCCCTGCCGGCGTGCACCAGGCTGCACCGACACGAGAGCGTGCTGAAAGCGAAGGCGATCGTAGCTTTCCACCGGGGACACTTCAAGGAACTGTACAGGATCCTTGAGAGTCACACGTTCAGCCCGCACAATCACCAGAAACTGCAGGCCCTCTGGCTGAAGGCTCATTACATCGAGGCCGAGAGGCTCAGAGGAAGGCCTCTCGGTGCTGTCGGTCAGTATCTTCATTTTTAAATCCCAACTTTATTTAGATAGAGTCCCTGCCCATCGGCTTTTCATAAAATACAGTAAAATAAACATTCAGTCAATGATCGTTCAACGAACAGCTGGCCGTTCGATTCGTAAGACTGTAGTCTTGTTTAGAAGCAACTTCGAATAAGCGAGGAATTGACGTTTGAATAGAGTTATGAGCTAACCGCGGAATTGCCGTGAACGTTTCCTCCGCCTCGGTTCAGGCTGGAGTTAAAAATACGGTGATCCGGCCACGTAACGACTGCTGAGTCTAATTCATCGACGATCATAATAGCGCCGGGAAGGGCGGAAATATGCTCGCGATAGGAACAAGGCGTTTCGCGCCCGAGGCCTGCCAGTTTTATTTCTGTCGCGCGTTGTAAACAGGGAGGAAGGCGAGTTTAACGAGCTGACATTCTAATTAGATCTTTCCATTTAGTTTTGCGAACCAATTTGTGTCATCCGATCTCGCGGGTCTCTACACGAGTGCGCACTAAAACCAGAGAGCAAAGAGAGAAATCCGTCGTCAGGTGACAGGTCCGGCTCTCTCGCTGTTAAGATTTCCGGCTGCTTTTGAAAGAGAACTTCTAAGAAATCGCTGTGTACCTAAGTCGAATTTCCACGGTTCAATTTGGTTGATGATTCAATAGAGATAATTGGAGGCGAGGCGAACAAATGTTAATTAAACGCTACCTGACTGCTCGCTTTGAACGTCCAATTAACACAATGAAAATTCGGTTTTGTAAACCGAAAAGTTTCTCGTGTCGGTCAGCGATAGTTTACAGTTTCGATGTATTTTTCATTAATTTTATAATTGGTGTCATTAGCAGAACAAGAGAGAGTTCCTTTTCTTGTTCGTATGCTGAAAATCCGAGACACGATGCATGGTATTTATAAATCGGACAATGGAAATAAAATCGAATCCGCGGTAAATATGTATGTTGTAGCATCGTTTAAAAATACCCTCTCGTAATTCAGGGTTTAACCGTCTTTCGCGCAGATCGTTTGATCCCCGAGAACTCGGTTCGTGTAACGAATGGTAATTTAATTCTGAATGACCGAGTTAAAAATCGTCGAGCTTCCGAGCGAGAAAAACAAAATGCATCTCTGAAGGATTTCTCGTTGCAGGGAAGTATCGCGTTCGACGCAAGTTTCCGCTGCCCCGGACTATTTGGGACGGCGAAGAGACGTCTTACTGCTTCAAGGAAAAGTCCAGGAGCGTCCTGAGGGATTGGTACGCCACCAATCCTTATCCCTCGCCTCGAGAGAAGCGAGAATTGGCAGAGAGCACCGGCCTGACCACCACGCAAGTCAGCAACTGGTTCAAGAACCGGAGACAAAGGGATCGCGCGGCCGAACACAGGTATTTACTCCTTCATCGATATATTCAAACACGTTTTGAGACACGAAAAACGCTCTTGCGTATTTCAATCGTATCCGATAAAACTTCAAGTAAATTCATTGCCTATCGAAACCCAAGACTGTTCTACATACAATGTACATTTTCCAATATGTATTTTTCTCGCGACCAGTCTCGTCAAAAGGATTAATCGACGGTCGTCGAGGAGAGTTGATACCCGTGGAATTCACGTAAGGCGCAAGCGTGTGGAAGTTTCGTGTTGTTTGGAAGGTCGTTGCTCCATATCCGATTTTAGAAACGACCGAGCAAACTCGAAGACCTCGTAACCGCGTAACGCTAGCGATGCTGCCTTTTGTCGGACCGTTCATCCTGACCCGCGTTTAGAAATATTCAATATCGTCACTGGATGAAACTCATCCAAACGCAATTCAATTGTTTACCATTAATAGTAAACAAAATTTTTTTAAACGAGCAAACGTTCGTTCTTTTGATCTTTTACGAATTATGAGTAAGAAACGCGCCACGCGCGTTGCCACGAGAAGGAGACGATATTCGAGATCGCGGATGGAATCGCGTGAAACAAAAGAGTTGCAGATAAGCGAGCAGACGGCGCCGACTCGCAAATTAGCAATCAGCATCTTTTTCCCTTATCGTATTTTCGCGTTCCAACGACACCTCCGCGTGCACATTCGGTTATCAGACACCGTTCGCACAGAGATAGGGTGGTCAACATTTTTCTGCTATCGACAGCACGACGAAACGAGAAACAAATAGGAATGACGATCGTTCTCATTTCATATAAAGAGTACGAAAAATCTCCGTGGAAATTTTTAGTTAGAAATACGATAATGATCTTGTTTTGCCATCTCTCGCTTCGCGGAATCGGCAATTTTATTCGACCGAGAGATCGGAGACAATAGAGGATGGCTTAGACGAGCGATTCTTCTGTCGAGCCTCTATTTCTTTTTGCTTCTACCCGTTTGCTCGTCGTATAACTCCGAGCACGTGTGACTAATTAAGTTCTACGAAATGTCCTAGCACCGTCGCGTCCTGCACTCTCGTGTCGGTCGAATTTATCGCCGAGCCTCGATCGTCAAGGTTGCATTCCAATTAAACCCGTGGGTGGGAATTTGAATCGTCACTCATTTTATCTGCGTTCGTAGCCGGTCGCATAAACGTAATCGGTCTGAGATCCAACTGCTATCCTCTGGTATCTAAAGGATTTAATATAATTAAGTCGTTGGGCCAAGGCCTCGAAACGTTCAGAGCAGTTTATTAATTGAGCCATCCGAGTAATCAAGCAAATCTTTTCCCCTAACCGCCTTGCCATTGACTCTACGATAAATTCAAGTAGAATTTATCTCGGTTAGCATCCGAGCGCGAACTGCGACTGGGGCTTCGAGTCAAAAGCGCAACAACGATCATACCGTTCAGTGACCAATTCGGTATTCCATCGAGAGGGGGGTGTGCAACAAATTACGTGCTATGGGGAACGCATGGGGAGGGTGATATGGATGCTTTGTGGGATTTCCTGTAATTAATATGCCGCGAATGATGCCATGCGTATCCACGATACCCCCATCGCAGACAGATAGGACTATAGGAGCCACCGCTGACTGCCCTGTCTCCCTCTCTCTCTCTCTCTCTCTCTCTCTCTCTCTCCGTACTCGCCACCCTTCTCGGCCTCCCCGTCTGCCTTTCTGTTTCTCTCTGACCTTCCGTCTCCGTTCATGGGAATACACAGAAGCCATAAGAAATTCGATACGTTCCCCGTGGCGTGACACGGCTGTGTACCGGACCGGGCCTTCGCCACGGTGGTGCTTCCCACTTCCTCCCTCGCGAAATTCCCGCCGCCGCTGCCCCGTCCGTCCGTCCGTCCGTCCTGGCCACGATCCGCGTCGATGGATTCACCAAAAACGAGGAAACTGCTCTTCTTCTCCCATATTTACGACATCCCCGTCACGAGCCTTTTATCATCGGACAAGCTGTAAATATTACCATGACTAATATCTTCTGTCTCGAGCCGAGGACATGACACCGTCCCAAGTTTCAAACATTCGAGTTACTCATCTTAGCTACTCAATTTCTTACACGTGTTTGCTGTTGAAACGTAAATCGGAGCTGAGATAAAAACGTTCCTAGCATCTACTTTCATAACAAAAGCTTAAAAACAATAATGCACACTCATGTTTTAACGTCCCGCGTATTCCTCGATTTTATATCTTTCTGTAAATCCACGAAATCAGCTCAGTGATGAGAGGATTGCCTGCCGAGTTGGATCGGTAACATTGACAGTGAAAACTGTAGAGAATGAAGTCGTCGAAGGTTATTGCCTTCCGAAGTCGAAGTTTCGAGTCACGCGAACCTTTGAATAAATCGTCTGTTCGCGGTACGCGGGCGCGGATCACGTGTAAACGAGCTGGTTAAATCGTTCGATAAGAGCTCCCGGGGGAGGGTATACATCCTCGAGTTTGGCGTTTTTTGCCTGAGCCACCGACGCCCACGAGACGCCCCAGTCTCCTGGGGCCCGCGATACCGCTAACGTATACGCCCCTACACGAACCGGCTTTTAATTCACATTAGGATGCCCTTCTTCTAACCAAAATTCATTCAATCAGATCAATTTCGATCACATGCTCGTACGTCGTTTTTCCAATCAGTTTTTTCAAATGAAAATTGACGTTGGCTTATAAAAAAGCAAAGATATCACGATTGAATTAAAAAATGTACGTTCATTTAAATTTTTTCTAACGTTATTTAACTCCATTGAGAAAAAGATAATCGGCTAAGAAAAACAGTGTAGCTATCAGATGAATGTACTCTAATGATCTGGTATCTTAAACGCCGTCTAATCTTCGGGAATGCCGAGCATCGTAACCCGTTCGCCTGGTCGAGGGGTTAAGAACAACATCGCGCCGCCGAAAATAAATAAAGCCGGAAGAGGCAGACGGGTACGTGCCGTCCAGACGTTCGAACCTCTTCCGTTTAACTCCCGTTTTCCTTGCCGCGAAATAGAGTCGATGAATAAATAGAGAAACGTGCTGGATCCTCGACTCTCCAGTACTTTATGATACGACGAAGTAGTCAGAAACGAGTAGATGTAACATGTTTCTGTCAGTCTGGTTAATTGTCGAAGATAATTAATTCTTCTTGATCTTATTTTTGAATCACATTCAGAGAATTTTTATTATCACTGAATTTTTGTTCAATTAGTGTGAAACGATGTTGTATATTTATCGATAAAAACTGGAATGGCAAGTATCAGGGTAGCTAATTCACTTCCTCGGAATCGTGTTGGCTATATAAAGAGTCTTCTTGGCTCGATGGATCGAGAACGTAAGCTGTACAGTTCGGTGAGCCGGGGGTCGGAGCCCAGTAATGGCTCTGTCGTTGTTCTCCAGTGTCAACAAAACATTGCTAATGTACCCAGCGCAAACTCACCCTTGCCTCACCCTCGTTGCGGCACTGTCAGCGCACCCTCGTCTTCGTGCGACGATAAATCGAGGGTAGGAAAATGGAGGAGCTCCTCCGATAATCGACGATTCCATGAAATTTCGAAATGTCCGCTTTTTCCCGAATGTTTTATGCTCGATTTAATCGATTTTACGAAGTAACTTTGGACCATCAATCATCTCTTATTCCTGGTTTGACTAAATTTTAGAACGTAAGCTGGTTAGATTGAATTCTTAATTCCTCTCAATTACATCGATCTCCGATAACCGATTTATTGTTCTATTTCCGACTGTTCTCACAGACATTGTTTCATAAGTATTCTATACGAATTCTTATCCTATTGAATTAAACATTAACGAAAGCAAACATCGAATAATAATTAGGTTTATTAAAAGTAGAAAAGGAAACAGATATTTTCAAAGACTCGTGTGCCACTTTTTATCCATGTATCTAATCTGCACACTTACATTCTCACATTAGATATCACCAACGAATGTATACGTTAACGGTGACATTTTATTAGCCTCTGCGTCGACTGTTATGGCTGCATTAACGTTTTCTACGAATTGAATTTAACAATCGTCTGACATAACTGCCGACATCGCCAGATATACTTTAATTTTCCACTTTCGCTGTAATATTACAGAAATATGGTAGCTACGTTCCGACGTGGAACTATTAGTAAAATTGTTGATAAAGCTACTTTCGAGACTCTTTGTTCGTTGCCTGGTTCACACTGTTTGCCAAGTTTCCCTGTGTAAACGCGGCAGCCCTTTTGAAGGAACCTTCCGACTTTTCCTTAAATCAGACGGTAGTTCTATTTGCCCAGTTTGGCTATTTGAATGTTAAATTTTTCGTAGTGAATTTTACAAAGTGTATTAAATAAGATTCCCATTAATCGTTCAATTAAACGTACAATTAAAGAAAGTATTACAGTCTCTGAATCATTCTACAAGTCATATGTCATCATGCTCCGTTTTAAACAGGCAAAAATACACGAGAGGCCCACGACAAAGAAAGAAGTAAACCCCGGTATTAAATGTCCATTATTCAGCCTTAATTAAATCGTTCCATGAGTGTTGCCACGTAAGTGGAAGATGGAGAATGCATCAGATTGGAGTGGACGGCGTCGATTGGGGATGTGGGGGTTTAGGGGTTTCGGGAAGGGATGTCACTTCCCGGATGTGGAGAGAAGGACAGTTAGGGAGAAAAAGGGAACGAAGTCAGTGTCGAGAGGGCGTTACGAAGGGGACACGCGCACGGTAAGGGTTGGACGCGGGGGTGGCTGCGCCAATATTGACTCTCTCTCTGAAAACTGGGGGACCCCAGGGTGAGAAAGAGGGTGGCGCTATACCTTACCGCGCCTTTTATGCGGCTCCGACGTCCTCACGGCGCCGATCGTTCAACTCAAATTTTATTCTCGATTTAGTAGTTCTATTCTCTTCGATACGAAATTATTTCAAACAAAATTTTAGCCTTTTAGTAGAGGCTTGATGAGGCAGAACGTCAATGATATCCACGAAATTGGCCAAAAATATAGTTTTACTCAA